CTCAGTCTGCACATTCTTTTGGCTATCTCTCTGTCTCTCACCCCCCAAAAAAGGTTGGAAGCCAAGTAACACTAAGGCAATTGCCAGAGAGATGTCAAAGCAGATGTCAGAGGTAGATTCTGTAGAGAGGTGAAAAGGAAGAACATCACAGCCATGGAGAGCAATTCTCGTTTAAAGGAACATTGGGTTCTAACAAGGTTCATTATTTGTTTCTTTGTTCATTCATTCATTCCAGCCTTTCCTGAGCTCAATTTACTGCTCATTTGAGTGATGAGGATGAGTATTAAAGGCTAGGAAAGCTAATAACTGGATTCCAGGAGAACATAGATACACAAGAGGTCCTGTGCCCCTGAATGACTCAGACCACTGCCACCCTTGGATACCCCACAGAAACTCCTGAGAAGCCTGAGCTTGGGGCTAGTGGGAGGCATGTCCAGAAAAAGTGGATCCTCTACTCTTGGAGTCAAAAGTAAACAAGGAGGAAACCCAAAGTAAAACAGCCCAGAGAGACTCAGCAGGAAGAGGGGAGGGAAAGGCCACCCCATTTGCCACTGAGAAAATAAGATAGTGGTGAAGGGGTGAAGGCGGCAGGTTTCCCATGAAACCAGGCTGAGTACCACTTTTCCATTCTTCCTCTTCCTGGGCTGGCACTTTGAGCACACACTCCCGGATCTCTGCCCAGAGGTCCATGATGCTATCACATTTTCTGGTTATCATTGTTTAAAGTGCTATAAAAATTCCAGGGTTAAACATATATATGTAAACATTCATTTTTATACGTATGTATATATTTATTTATTTTATATATTATATAGACATATACATACATATTATATATATGCACATACATGTGTGTGTATGTGTATATATATATATCTTTTGAGTCAAGGTCTTACTCTGTTGTCTACACTGGAGTGTAGTGGCACAATCATGGCTCACTGTAGCCTAGAACTCCCAGTCTCAGGTGATCCTTCTACCTCAGCCTGCAGGTAGCTGGGACTGTAGGTGCAAACCACCTCAACAGGTTAACTTTTTAATTTTTCTGCAGAGACAAAGTCTTGCTGTGTTGCCCAGGCCGGTCTCAAACTCGTGGACTCCAGTGATCCTCTTGGCTTACCCTCTCAACATACTGGGATTACAGGCATAAACCACTGTGCCAGGCCTTTAAAAAAAAAAAAAAGAGACAGGATCTTGCTCTGCTGCCCATGCTGGAATGCAGTGGTACAGTAATAGCTCACTGTAGCCTCAAACTCCTGCACTCAAGCAAGCAATTTTCCTTCCTCAGTCTCCTGGTAGCTGTAACTACAGGCACGTGCCACCAAATCTAGCCAATTTTTTGTAGCGACAAGGCCTTCCTATGTTACCCAGTTTGGTCTTGAACTCTTGGCCTCAAGCAATCTCCCACTTCAGTCTCCCTCAGTGCTACTGCAATAACAAGTGTTATAATACAACTTAAAGATAAAATTGCCTTTGGGGTATATGGAATTGTGGTGAATTTTAGAAAAGGCTTAAGTTTTAGTAAATCAAAATGACAGTTGGTGGTACAATTCAAGTTTCTCAGGAAAAAAATCAGATATAGTACATTAACACTGAAACTAAGAATCCAACACTTAATGATGCAATTGAGTGTGATACAGAAATAAAAAATATAACATTTGCAGTCATATTTTTTCCTTTTTGACCTTCAGCTAAATGGTGTTACACTTATTGACTAGTTTCACCACATATATGACAATAATAAATTAAGACTTAATCTTCCAATTCTTTGAAAACTGAATCTCTACCCATGGATAGACTATAAAATACCTATTAAAGAGGAACAAATTTCAGAGCAAACAATTAAGAAAAAATTCTTCTCTATAATTAGATATTTAAAAAGCAGATACATGGCACATGTTATAATCTTTTGTCAGAGCTGGGTTGATAAGTGTTATCATTCTTGTCACTGCTGTCGTTTTTAAATTGCAGAGAGAAAAAACTAATTTCTTGATGTTATCTTTAGCCAAGTCTAATATAAGTACTTTTGATTGGAAATTGACTAACATACTTGTATGATGTATTTTATCCTAATGTTCTTCACATCATAATTCTCAGCAGAGAGATATATCAAGTCAAAAAGCATGCCCTGGATGCTAAGAGAAGGGAAAATGAAACTTATAATCACCAACATTGGAAGATTCTGACAATATTCTGTTAGAAAAAAACAAACACTTCTAGAATTACTAAAATAGCCCAAAATGTTGATTATTTTGTTAAAATTCATTGCTCAAAATGAAGTCAATTCACAATTTCTGTTATATTAGTAGCCATTTTGAGGGTTATTCAAATGTCCCATGCAGGTTTTTGTAACATCTATCTAATTTCAGGTACTTCTAGAACTGGTTTTTTTGCTGTTCTTCTTACTAATGAGGTTTACCCTTTCCTCTTTTTAACATTATTATTATTAATATTATTTTCATAATAGTACCACATACATGTAACATTGTCTATATTCGATTTTCAATGTGGGCTACTTTTTTAACAATGACAGATGGTGTTTGACTTTATAAAAGATATAAAAGCTTTTCAAAACGCAGCTTTGTCAATTTTTCTGAAAACCTTGACAACCATCTTTAGAGTTTTTCTAGAAGATTTTCTTCTTTCCTCATTATTCATCATCTTTTTGAAATCAATGGTTATTTTTATTCTACTTGACCACACAAGAAGGACTTTGATTTACAACAGCTGCATTCCAATAGTACACACACACACACACACACACACACACACACACACACACACACACATACACACACACAGACATATAGTTTTTTTGCCTTTATGAGTCTTGTTTTAAAGAATCAAGTAACAATATAGTTTGGCCCAAGGATTTTGGATTCATTCAAGTCTTTAAAAATAGCATAATGAAATTATAGAGTGGTTTTGCTATACACATGTCACTACCATAACTTTGCTTAGTTCTACCTTTAATAATGGGATGGCTAAGTATGGACATAATATTTTTCTTCCCTTGATGCCTCCATATTCCACATTATTCCTTTTTTTTTTTTTTAGAAAGCAGAATTTATTGAGAGGACAGAAAAGCTCCCACAGTGGGAGGGGACCCAAGGGGGTTGGGAGTTACCCTCCATTTTATTCTTAAACCCAGAAGACAATCGCCATGATTTCTTTCATTCATTTATTTGTGTATTTGAGTTTAATTCCAGTTGTTTTAAATGCTCCTCAAAATTGTATGATTATAAAAATGTCATGAAGGAATGTACTGATAAGTATGAAAAACACATGCTTGAATTCAGCACTGTTCTGGAACTGATATTGCCAAGATTTCACGAGGGAAAATACATGCTTATAGGACAATAAAACTTAACAGCAACCAGGAGTTGATTCTCAAGGAAATGGTTTTGTTTGTTTGTTTGTTTGTTTGTTTGTTTTATCCCAAAGTATGAAAACAAGGCAATCGCAGACGTAAAAACAAAGAAAAAACCTATAGCCTCATTACATTTGGATTCCACATTAACTTATGATATAATCTGCTTCACAAAAGAATGCTAAAATATGTAGGTGTTCAATACCCCTCTTGTTTTTTTGAGTCGGAGTCTCTGTGTGTTACCCAGGCTGGAGTGCAGTGGCACACTCACAGCTACTGCAGCCTTGACCTGCTGGGCTCAGGCGATCCTTCCGCCTCAGCCTGCCAAGGAGCTAGAACTACAAGTGTGCACCACCATGCCTGGCTAATATTTTTTTGTTTATTATAGACATGAGGTCTTGCTATGTTGTCCAGGCTGGTTTCAAACCCTTGGGCTCAGGCAATCCTCTCGCCTCTGCCTTCCAAAGTACTACAATTACAGGTATGAACCACCACACCCAGCTCAACACAATCCTTAATTCCAAAGACGGCCAAGAGTTTTTGTTTGCCAGTTAGAGTGACCCTGAAAACCTAAATTTGCCTGTTAATCGCAATGCTTCCGCATAACTAAATCACCATTCAAATCACTTAAAAGGACAACCTCTAACAAGTTTGAAGGCCCAGCATATGTTCACTTGGCCTATAACATATCAGTGACCCATGAAATGCAAGTACAAAACTCTGCATTTTTTAGTTTCATAAAAAAATTCCATGCTTCATAGGTCATAATTAATATTATTTATTAAAATAAGCCAACTGAGAAAATCTCTAGCTAAATCCATTATTCATTTGATCTACAAACGCCCAAAAAAGATTTAACTTTCTCTTGCATTGGTTCATCTACGCTGGCTTCTGAATGGATATGCTAAAGCAGGGAGAACGTCATTTTCTATTATTGTTTCCATAATAGCTAGAATTCTTCGCCATGAACCACAAGAGCAACAGTCAAGTTTTACAGAGATACCAGTCTGGAGAAATAATCAACTGAAGGCCCAAAGTGTCACTTCAGTCATTGCCTTTTTCCACAAGCTCCTCTAAGGAATGAAACCCTAGTTTATTTATTTTTATTGTATTTATCTTTCTCTTAAAATACTAAGCATTAGGCTGGTTGTATAAATAGTTGGCATTCAGTAAATAAACCTACCATTATCTCTTTGATCCACAAAGCTCTTTAAAAAAAAGATTTTTAAAGATGAAATTAGTTTTAATAATTGAAATGTAATAAACAAAAGTTGCCAATATTAAAAACTTTCATAGATCATTTAGTGTTAAAAGTTTCTGCCACTATGAACATCTATTAAACACTTTCATCATGTAGTGTTCACCCCAAATGTTTTTGGTGAATAAAATGGGTAAAAAATAAATGATGTCAATTTAAGAATTTTAGTCTTCCAGAGTCTAATTTTAAAATATTATTTCCTAATTGCCAGGAGAATTAGAGTATTGACCCTAAAAATCAACAAATTCTGTAACCTTGAAACCAATTAAGCAACAAGCTATGGCTTCTTTTTCTTGCACTTTCTCCCATGACATCACAAGAAGTTCTTGAAAAGTAATTGACTCTTGAAATAAAAGTTGAGCTTAGCATTCTTACCTGGCACTCTCTTTGCCCAGTTGATCATGTGAACCAGCTCCCTGTCTGCCAGGTTGGTCAGTAGGCCCATCATCGAAGACTCGCTGAAGGGTCTGGTAGGATCGTACTCGGAATAGATTATGGGGGGCTCAGCCTCCAACAAGGCACTGACCATCTGCTCAGCTGTCAGGGACAAGGCTGGACTGTTCTTCTTAGTGTGCTTAATCAGGAGAGGGCTTGGCCAAAGGTTGGCAGCTCTCATGTCTCCAGAGGACCCTGCTTCACCCCTGCCCTCCCCATCATCTCTCTGGCGCTTGTGTTTCAACATTCTCCCTCCTCTTCGGTCTTTTCGTATCCCTGAAAATACAGGGAGAAAAACAATTAGTTTATTTTTTTCCCATGTAAACTTTCATACAAAAATAATCTTCAAAACTGATAGTCCTTTATTTTATTTCAGAAAAAATACTCTCAGGCACAGGTGAGTTGGTAAGTGTTTAACAACTGTCTCTACAAGGGAAAAAGGGAAAAGCTCTGATTTGTATCATTTGCCAATTTCCATGATGTAAATACTGTTACCATAGCAAATTTCAAGCTACTTATCTGACATCAAGCAGCTTACAAAACTCTCGAAAATTTACGATTAGGTTTTGTGAGCCAGTACAAACTGGCTCTGACACACCAGGTAGGGGTGTGTGTGTGTGTGTGTGTGTGTGTGTGTGTGTACATGTGTGTGCACATGCATGTATTGTAACAGATGCTATGAAAAGAACAGAGTTATAATCATTATTCTTAAACTATGGTTTAGTATCAAAGATTGCTCTTGCTATCAATATTCTTTTAATATGTCATTTTTAAAAGACATGCAATAAACATCCTTCATCCAAATAGACCTCTTAATGAATGACACTAAAGACAAACGACTTATCCACAAAGTACATTACAGTCAGTGGTTCCTCAAGGTGATCAGTAAGTCTCTCACTGCAACTAAACTACGACTTACCACATTAGGAATGTTCCTTAAGTTGTTTACTTGGTTTTAAGATTCTCATAAATGTATTTCTCTTTTTCTAATGCAAAAGTTTTAGGTTTTTTAAGTTTAATTGTTTTAGTTGAAAACAATTTTCTCCCAAGATTTACTTAGTTGTGATTCTCACTAACTAAATTACAAAACAAGGTGTAGAGAGGGGAGCCAATATTTTTGCTGTGAGTCTTTGAGATTTCAGCACAGCTTCTTAGCCTTAAAAAAAGGGCAATGTTGTGCTTCTGAAATGGTTCAGCAAAAACACATTTTTAGAAAGACAAAAATTAACACATATCCATATTTTTCAAAAAAGTTTGTCCATATTTCCCAAAATTTATCAAACAGCAATAGCAGGAAACAATTCTTTTAGTAAAAAGTTAATACAACTATTGTTACTATCAAAGACATGAGAAATAAACACTCTTAATAACATATCACCTGTTGTACCACTCTATAACAAATGAATAGCTAATGTGAGAACTTTATCCTATTTCATTCTAATTTGTCAAGGGATTTAGACAAGTGTGTGGCTATGAATCTTTTAAAAATATATACCTCTATTCTTGTAAGTCTAGAAAAGATACATTAAAAGTCACTTCAAAAACATAGAGGAGCCACCAGTTCTTCCTATTTTCTCTATTAACATGAACATTTCTGAGAACTCCTGGAATAGTAATTGTAATAGTTAAGATCACTATTGCTATTATCACTAATATGCATTGAGCATCTGCCATGTATTTTAAGCACTTTATAGCTAATTTAGTTCTCACATACTTAGAGAGATTAATTAATTTGTTCAAGATCATTCTCTATTAAGTATGGTTCTAGATTCTGGCTCTGAAAATAAGTTTGTTTTTGTTTTCAGTTAAATGGAGAGTTTGAATTTTATCCATTATATAGGCATGAAGTTAACAAGTTTAGGGAAACTTTTTAAAAGAGAAGAACAGTGGTATCTGCTTAGCTATTGTCCTTACTCAGGCATATATACTATTTCATTGTCATATTTGCTAATGGGCTCATAATATCTGAATTAAGGGAAACAATACTCTCACTCTACTTAGCTCATCAGAGAACCCCTGAGGTAGCACACTCATTGCTGGATGCTGGATGCTGCACATAAACAAAAAAATTCATCTATTCAGATTAGAGTCAGTGAAATGGTGAGGAGACACATGATCAGATCACCTGGAGAACAACTGAGGAATTAAGAGGGGTTAGCAAGCTACTGCACTCCAACCTGAGCAATGGAGTGAGATGACTCAAACAAAGTAAAAAACCAAAATACAGTATTACCACCCACTTCAAAATGATTCAGTAGTCATACTACAAACATTCTGATTTCCAGCAGAAGAATTTTAGGATCAATTCAGGAATTGATAATGGCAGTTATAAAAAATGTGTTATCAAAGTGTTTGTTCAATATTTACAATGTATATTCACAGAAGATGCAGTAGTAAATAAAGACAGATCACATTATCCTTCATCAAGTTTTCAGCTTGGAGGGAGAAAAACATTGGTCAAAAATTATTTAGTATTTGCTGAATTAATGAATGAATGTCAAATGCTACAACAAATGGGAGGAAATGCTGAGGAAGGATGAGACAAAGAAAGTTTTTCTAAGACAGAAAGTTATCTTTGAGCCTAAGCCAGATCATGAAATTTTCCATCTTGGAGGAATTTAGTAGATTATTCAGATGCTTAGCTGTATGTAAAGGAATTAGTAGAATCTTCACACCCAATTGTGTCTCACAACTATATGATTCAGGTTGTTGAACAGGAGACCAAAAAACAAAGCAAAACACAGAGGTTTGAGATGTGGAACAATAAAATACAACTGGAGAGATGAGGAGGGAGTTGACTACTTATAAAGTCATCAAACAGTCAAATGAAAAGGTAGATTCTATTAGCATTACCAGATATTTTCTCTATTATGCCCTAAATGTGTGATAGTTTTAAAATTCCAAAGTTCCTACAAAATGTACAAACAAAACAAAAGTAGAAAATTTTACCTATTATACAGCCAACTTTGTGTGATAGGATCCCAGGGTATGGCTCAATGAAGAAGGAATCTTTTTTTACTTGGGAATAGTAATTGTATACATTACCGGTGATAACATTGCACAAATATTTTATAGCAGTTCAAAAATCTAACTAGAATTGAGTGGAAGAAGGTAAAAAATGACCAGACTTCTATTTCTGCTTTACTCTAGTTTAAGTGAAAACTGTAAATCAGAACCAATCAACTCCATCACTGTGAAATGTACAGAAAATTCTTAATTATATAGGGGGACCCCAAAAAACCCTGGAATTATCCTTTAGAGGGCGGGTCCCTTGTTGCACAGGCTTCTCCACTAGGTAATATTCTAGGAATCCAACCTCATCAGTGTACCAGCTAATATTGTTGTGAGAAGCTGAATTTTTTTTTGTTTTGAAAATTTTTTTTGTCTGTTTCATGATAGTTTATTTTACAAGCTATGAACACCGTGCTCAGTGTTCAGCAATTTTGGACCAAAAGCAGCATGAACTCTGTGCCTCGCCCTCCCGATTTGCCTGATCTCATCCTCTCACCCTGAGCAACTTTTTTTTTTAATTCCCCAGTGAAAAAGGTCTTCAAAGTTGGAAGAGGTGAAACAAAAAAATGGTAGAAGCACTAAAAGTCATCAAAATTGACATGTTCAAAAACTGTTTTGAGCAATGGAAAAAGCATTTTGATTGATGGATTGCATCAAATGGAGAGTACATTGAAGATGACTGAAGTTTAATTATGTAAGAATAAATACACAAATTTTATAAATAAATTCTGGGGCTTTGGGGGGTTCCCTCTTGAAAAGAGTGGTGGGCCAAAGGAGTGGTACAGATAATTGAAATTCAAAGATAAAATCTCATTCTCTGCATCCTACCAAGACATAGAACAGCAGAGTGATATGAATTTTGCTTAAGTTCAACACCCCCTTGTCTAACTTTTTTTAGCTATCAGGGAAAAAGCCAAAAAACAAAATTATCAGTTAATGAAGCAGGGAGAAGAATTAGCTTAGATTGTGCAAATATTAAACAAGCAGTCTCTTACCAATCAAGAAGTTTACTTGATTAGACTAAAGTAAAGTAGAAAATGGCATTTTGGCTTATAAATACCATACACACAAGCTATATTATCATTCAGTACATGATCATGTCATTTTCCAGAATGGTTGAGCAATACATTCAGTGGCACAATACAGATATCGTGCCCTGGACCACTAGTGGACATCATCATTATCACTCAAAGTTGTGTCACTATTTAGACAATATTTTATCAAAGTAAATTTCTTTGACTCTTTTTAAAATTTTTAAACTTAAAAATTATCCAAGGATTGTCCCAACAAGAGCCACAGGTTTTATATAAGGGATTAAGAAACCAAACTCTCTCTAAACCACCAAGTCCACTGTCAGTATGAAATGCCACCAGTTTGAACTGCATCTCCTTGGGTTACTGCAACTCCTGATATCCTCACCACATTTTTGAAAGGATTTAGAGAGGCCAAGAATAAACTCTTCACTTAGTAGCACTCAATGTGGATTTCAGTGATTCTAATCCACCATAAGAGGTGTTAACTTAAGGGAATGTGTTAGGTCAATAAACACAGGCAATGAAAAGGGACAGGAGAGAGATGGGGCATGGTGTACTCTCTAGTGAAGACCGCAGATAGTTCAGCCGAAAAGCAGTACAGGGACCAAGTCCTGGCAAGGGGAAAGGGTTAAATAATTATATCCTGGTCCTAAAATAAAAAGATCTGTCTGAATGAGTCAAACACCTAATGAGGCATTTTGCAAGACTACCTCTAATCACGTTAGAGTTTGTCTAATCATTTGTTTTTTTCATTCTTTAAATTCTTTGGCTTGGCCATTGTATCTCAGGAAAAGTTAATATGCTGCTTGAGTATTCCTGAATGATAAAATTCATTAAACTATGCTTCTAATGCATTCCATTTTTTAAATTTTTTAATTGAAATGATCTTTTCTAGAAAAAAATTAGTGTATCAGTAAAGTTATTTTTCCAGTTTCCATGGCTACCTTAATGTATTATTATATTATTAAATATTTCAAACATTTGCATAATCACCTTTCTTTTGTCCCTCAATTATTCATGAGGTATTAAAAAGTAAGACAAAGAAATACACTAAGAGTTTTTTAATTCAATATGTTAAAGAAAGCAGAAGTACTGATTAGTTAAGAATGAAATAAAGATAAGAACTTGAACTATTTGAGAAACTGCCAAGGATGAGGGGTTGGGATTGGCAGTAGTGGGAAACTGCCAGAGGAGGGGGGCACACCTCATCAACAAGAGTACCTGCATAAC